ATACAGATTTTCCATTTCTTAAAAATAATTTTTTTTGAAAAATAAAAGAATTGCAATTTTTTTTCCCTAAGAACTACAAAACAGTGAATTAATGAAGATGAGAATATATATATATATATATAAAGAATGATAAATAGATTAAGTGTAAAGAAAAAAATATTTTTTTTTGCAAAAACAAATTGGTTAAAATTACAGATTTGCCTTTGTTATATTGACTACCGTGAAAAATAAAATGAGAAAAAATATAGATTTTCCACTTCTTAAAACAAAAGAGTTGCAACAATTGTTTTTTCAAAGAATTAAAAAATGAATAAATAAAGATAAAAATAAAAATAATACTAATAATAAATAGTTTAGGTATAAAGTAAGTGTAAAGAAAAAAAAATTGTGAGAAATTATAAATTTGTTATTGTTACAATAATTATCATATTCAAGAAACTAGAAAAAAAATACACTTGAGGTGTTAATCTAGTAATGGGAGGGACTTGTTCCCTTTCTTTGCACTCGGGTTTGAATTTTATTGTGCATACCTGTTATTTTTGTAGTACCTTACATGCTTATTGGGTTTACAGGATCTTCAGTGGACCGTGAGATTAATCATCATACACGCAAGCTATTTATCTTATTATTTCTACTCATTGAAATGCTAATTATTGTATTAGTATTTGTTAAATTAGTGGAATTTTTTTAATTAACTTCATGATTAATAAAGAGGCATGCATTTAACAAGAACTCATTATAAAAATTCTATCAAAAGAATCACTTAAAAAAAAAAACCATGGAGCAAAATTTTTTTTTTGGGAGCAAGAGCACTTCTTGTCTAAAGCCAAAATTACACAAGAACACCATAGTCCACATGTTGAATCATGGCAATGTTAAGCCAAGTTTTCATGTTTCCAATTTGACGAAGCAGCTCCATAGATCTCATTAAATAGCAGACCCGACATCATTTTGATTTAAATAATAAGAAGATTCATTCAAATTCAGGGCACTTTTTGGTTTTTTTTCTTCTTTTCCATTTTTATAATTATATAGCAGACCAATCGATGGGGATTTCAAAATGGACACCATCTCCCTTAGTGGTTCAGAACATGGTTGTCTCCCTCTGGTTTACTGCCTGCATGTTTAATATTGTGATATTAAATATTTTTTATTTAAAAATATATTAAAATAATATATATTTTTAGTTTTTTAATTTTTTTAGCATTAACACATCAAAATAATCTCAAAATATATATAAAAATTTTAATTTTTTTAAAAACTACATTTTCAAGGCAATAACAAATACAATTATTAGTCAATTTGAGAGCCCAAAACAACATCAAATAGATATGATGAAATAAACTTGTAATTTCACATTTTACAAATTATCATGTTGTTAAAAGAGCTTAGATTGATGAGTCATTGGTTCAACTTGTAGATTATTAAATCAACTTCGGCTAAGTATTTTTTTTAATTAAAATAACAATGTTTTTGTTATGTTTTTTTAACTAAACATTGACCCATCATGTTTAAATCGAGTTTGAATTAGGTTTGCCAGAGTTAACGAGCCATGATAAACTCAGCCGAGTCAACAAGTATGATAATAATAATATTTATATCATTTCTATTACAATCTTTTCTATTAAAATCTAAGGCCAGATCACGCTTCAAGTTTTAGATTCTTTAGATCAATCCGCCGGATGACATGAAGTCTAATAACTACATAAATCCTTCATTTGAGACCGGCACGGTTCTTGTATTTTCTGTCAACTTAATTTTTATGTACCCAATAAGGGACACCGGAAAATTTCAACGAAGAGCTATCCAACAGGCCGTCAGCTACTCTCCCCATCGCCACTGTTGTTCACAGCCACTTCTTCCGATGCCATCATCGCATCCTCCTCAATCGCTGCACGCAAAATTTTGCTGATTAATATCTTGCGAATACAAAGAATGGAAGAACTGCACATTAAAATGTTAGAATTATGAGTCCATTGTTCTTTCTCGGCCCATCTTCCAGAGGACTTCCACTGTTTAAAAGTCGTCAAATTTATGTTAACAGCACAGTTGCAAATTATAAACAGAAAAGAGTTGAACAAATTGACAAAGGACAGGCTAAATAGTCTTCCTTTTCCTTACCAGCAACTCCTTGATGTGGTTCTTCTTTTGCTCTAGGTGCCTCGGATCCCTTTTGATGTTTGTGGTGCAAGGCACGATAGAAAGTCAAAATCATGATTAATACAAGTAATTAACATGATAAGTAACATCAACTATAGCATGAAAGATAGATGCAGGATTAGCAATCACTGGACTTTTTGTGTTTCTGTAGCCATGATTTGCTTTTCTCATCAAATTTTGAACTGATCAAGGTTAAGTGACAACGTAGGGAGTGATGAGAACACTATGTTTCATGGGGCACACACACCCGCAATAAATTAAAGAGCAGAAAAGTTGACGTAGAAAGATAAGGTTTAAACTGAATAATTTTATTTATTTATTTGGGTATTCTTATATCTTTTTAAAAAAATTTAAAATGTAAGGCTAATGCTATTTGGGGTTTATAATTATCTCTTCTAATAAATATATTTTTTAAATATTAATTTTATATTCTTATCCTTGTAAGAATATAATAATATGGTAACCGCTAGATCAATACTTCGTTGATAAACTAAATAGGATTTACACACAAGGAATCTTAACTTTGTAGTTTTACTATGAAATATAATTTTGATGAATTATATATCTCTAATAGATTTATAATTTTTTAAATAAATAAAAATCTTTAATATTAGTACTCGGGGGAAAAATGGAGATAAAAGCTTAAATAGAGACAAATCCAAATCCAGATTTATGAATAAAAATAAGTCGAAGCCCAGGAAACAAGATATTTATTAGATTATAATAAATTTGCTCACCTCATAAAGAATTACACATATCCAAGGAAAGCCGAGGAAAATTATGTAAAGGCTGCTACAAAGAAGGTACATTGCACTCTAATTCTTGTTATTCGTATTCCAGTGGATGATTTGGGGTTCTTGACCCACGGACTTTGTTCCATGCTATTATACACTAAGAAATCTTATAGAATTATGTTGGTGATGATTATAGTATGGTGACTGATAAAGAACCATTGAATGTTATGAGCTTAAAATATGTGAAAAGCAAATTACTGAATGGTTTCGTATGAAATTTGCAACAAGTGAGACATATTGCTAAACCAAAAAAAGAAATTAATTTCTATGAGATGACTTGATGAAAATGATCATTTAACATATTTTTTGAAAAAATATATGAAAAGTCTTTATGGAAATAGTTTTGGCTCCAAATAAGAAAATAAATACCTTGTATATGATCATAGGATCAAAAGATACCATTGTTAATACTAAAGCTAAAAATCAAGAAGAGTCATTGAAGTATAAACTCCATCATATGAGTTAAAAAGGAATGGAGTTACTTTTATTAAAGAAAAAGCTATTGAAGTTGGAACAAGCATGGAGGTCTTCTCTAGTGGATTTTGTTGGAGACTCTTGATATCATGTTACCTTCATCAATGCATCAACAAGAATGTATATGCTTATTTCTTGAAAAATAAGTTTAATGCATTTGATAAATTCAAGAAATAAAAGGTTATATTGTAAAGCTTTTAGAAATGAAGGAGAGCATGTTAATGGAGGCTTTAAAAATTATTGTTCCGTAAATGATATCAAAATAAAAAAGACTATTCTAGGCATATTGCAATAAAATGGTATTGTTGGGTGCATGAATAGGACTATCCATGAATAAGCTAGAAAAATGAGATATCATTTTGAATTATCTTTAACATTTCAAGTTGAGGTATTTCATATTATGATTTACATGGTCAACATAAAACTTTTATCCCCCATGAGTTTTAAAATTCAAAAAGAGGTTTCGTTACATAATGAACTGAAATTAATATCTAAAATTGCTATCATCTGAAGTGGAAAAAAATAATAAAAGGTCTTAATTAGATATCATAAGATTGAAGGATTGAAGAAAGAATAATTTGAACAAGTTCTCTTCATCTTAGAAAGATTGATTTACTAGGACTTTAAGAGAAATTATGTATTTTCTAAGTTATTTGTATTTATATTAAGCTTAGAAAAATATTTTTCTTTTTGGTGTATTTATTTTTTTTCTTTTTAGTCTAAAAAAATCAAATATTGCGCATGGTAATTCTATTGTTTTCTATTTTAGAAATTCTTTGAATAACTCTCTAATTATTTATTAGGATTTTTTAAGAGAGAATTAAAACTAATATAAATAGAGGTGTATAGTTTGTATTTCAACAAACTACTTGAAAAGAAAAATATTCTATAATAAAATTTTGAATTGAGTTTTTATAATAGAAGATATTATTTTATATTGTTCGTACTTTCTGTTTTTCTTACGATGTTTTTTTCTGTTTGTGCTAGGAATGGCAGCAGAAGAATGTCATGACAAGAGCACATGCTCTCATCTCATGACAGCATTTTGCAGTCTCCAAACAATTTGAAACCTTTACATATGAATCCACATGTCGCTGTTCTGGCCTATTTCAACCTAGAATCGGACATGGGCTCCACTAGTAGCCAGCCAACAGTTATAATTCCTGAAGAGGGCAGTTTCAGATTCCAGGAGAGGAAGAGCAGTGTTCCAGTGAGAATTGCAGTGCACGCATGTTCTTAAGGGTAATAAGAGACTGTCAGTGTGCAAACTCTCCCATCTGAGCAGAGTGTTTGACTGTAACTTATAGGTCAAGGTGATGACAGTATTCAACTTCGATAGAAAGGCTGAAACTTGGAGAAAAACAGACCTTATCTCTCCATGAACTTTCATTACTAAACAATTGAAAATCGCAGACAAAATTCTAATGCTAATCGTGAAATGGGTCAGTCAACAACCCAGTTTGTGTCATCTAAAAAAAGAAGCCAATCTGAGGAGCCAGTTAGAAGGTTTGGTCATCATCAAAGGGAGCAGAGAATGTGCACTCAAAACGACTAACATTCTACAAACTAAGTAACTAATCAAGCATTATCAACATCAATTCCTCCACCAGCCTGAGCTTCTTGGGCCATCCAAGTTTCTTGACCATTCGGAGTTTGTTGACCAACCTGAACTTCTTGATTGGCCTCATAGGGAGTTCCGGCAGGATTCAACACCTTACACCTGCTCCAGAGTAATGGTCAGGCATCAAAACACGGAAATCGATAATTCAACCACCGAAGGCAGGAGTAATAGGCACCTTTCAATGACAAACCAACCTTCCTTGTACTTATGAGCCTTCACATATGCATATATCTACAAGCATCAAACATGAACGCATCAAACAAAGGCTGAAAATAAATAACTAAAGCAAAAATCAGTTGATACGAAAGAATACACAATCCATAGCTTCTAAGAAAGCCAGATCTTACATATTTCCACCCCAGAATTGAGCCACAAACAACACAGTATATGTCAGCCACAGTGTGCTTTCCAGTTATCATCATTCGATCTTCTTTCGGTCCAAAGGTGACATTCTCACTGTCATCATTGTGAAAGCAAAATGAGACATAGAAGTGGCAATTACAGCACACACAATTTATAAAATGATATAAGCATGAGAGCACTGTATTTTTGTTTTCTTCAAACATAGCAACTACGTTATACATTTTTTTTCCCCTTGTACTCTATATTTTCCCATAGATCAAGCTTTAATCACTAACAAAACAGGATAATCTTTTGTCTGTCTCCTTCATGCTACAATAACTAACATTAAAGATCTCTCATATCTAACAACAAACAAGAAAGGAAAAGGCCTTCCATTGAAGTCAACAAGGAAGTTCCACAAAAGATGAAAGAACTTTGCAGAAGATTTAACACTAATATTAAGCACTTTGCCTTGTCAAGATGCGTGCACGAGTTTGATCAATATCAAACCAAAAAGCAAACAGTCAGAGCCAATTATCATAATATGAAGTCAAAGTTCTATTGGATTCCATACTCAGGAAAACTTACACGTTATAGAAAAGATATGCCCTGCTATTCCTGGAGCAGAAATACTGGAAACAAAACAAATAATTAGAATCTATATGGTGCTGCCAGTTAATCCAATAATACATTTGGATGTGGCTACTCGATCTTGATATCAAATGCCAAAATGAGAAAAAAGAACAATGAAAAGATGGGTTTCCATTTTGGGAACTGCAAGAAGGAAGCCAAGATTACAATCATAATCACCTTACATGTCGAGGCCCTAAATAATTATTAACAAAAAAATTATCTACACATGATCTTAGGGGACAAATACTGATACATCAGATTCTGTTTATCAGTCATATACGATAAAGGAAGAATTCCCTACTAATTCAAACATTATTATTTAACAGCAAGAACCCAATAAATATATCCCAAAATACGTAACAGGCAAATGGAAAATCCAAGAAAGCTGAATCATAGTTGTTGCTCTCTCCTACTTCAAACAGAAAACGAATACATAAAGCACACACTGTTCCAGTTCTTGTAATTCAGCCAATTTACTTTTCCAAGATTCACCAATACATAGCAATCGGTCTTCTTTGACATTTCTTTATGTCAACTTCACAGCGTAACGCAAGAAGAAGACACTTGACATAAGCTTATAAACCATACAACTTGCATATTACATAGCAGAACCATGCCAAGTAACAGAGAAAAGAGAAAAGAACCTTAGAGATGATGTCGTCTTTGAGAGCAAGAGGAGTGCGGCAGTGCTTGCAGCTATAAGAGCTTCCTTCAAGATCCACCAGAAATAGCCTCCCCATTTTCTTTCTTAAGTCAATATAGTCTTACTTTCTTGATTTTCTTTTTCTACGAAACCACACAAAAATGTAAATAAAAAAAGGCCAGAATCAAGAACATGCATGAATCAACAAAAAGAAGGTTAAAACTGCATGAATCGAAGAACAAACCACGTTGATATATAGAGGGTGAAATAAAAGAGGAAGAGAAAA